TCTAATTTTGGCATTTTTATATTCTTCTCTTAAAACCTCCTTTTTTACTTGGGTATTTCCAAATAAAGTGTATTTGTTATAAGCCTTTTCAAACTCTTTGGTGAGTGGACATAAAAGCATGGATGATGGTAGAACTCTGCTATTTTCGTCAGGAACAGTACTTGAATGAAAATAATGGTCTAGCAGGGTTAAGGAGCCATGACTACTTAAGTTTTTTCCAACCCACCCCTTTCCAGGGAGTAACCAATGAGTAATGGTCACATGAAGAGCATTGTGGTGCTTTCAACCTGCACTAACTTGTCACGGTCGTCAGCAGGGAGTATTCTCCCCCACGTTAGAATCTCCCCTCACCCCTCTCGGGCAGCGGACGGGATACAACACAGAACTCTAATGTCCACTGTGTCAAGCTGCTTCAGTCCTCCGGATTCTGTCTGAGCACAGTCTCTTGAACTTAGGCAACAATGACTCCTGCAGTTTTTAAGTGCAGGTTGTTGGTTCTTACTGTGAACTCCTTTCGGTCTTCTCCCAGGCCCGATAGAGGACAAGTCTACACACACACGCACCTCACCTTCTGGTGTTTCTCCCCACACCCCTCGACACTGTCCAAACCTGCAGCACTCCCCTCATCACGTAAATACCTACATCTGTATGCAGAAATACTTCCACTCACCTTGGCAATTGTGCGCCCTGAAAGTTATTTCTGAGATAATCAGATTTAAGGGTAAAGATTCATCTTTCTTAGAAAAATTAGGACACTTGGGTGAGGGATAAATTACCTCATTTTACTGTATTTGCTAGGCTTCTTTGCATCCTAGATCTCGGTTGCCACCCTCCCTGCTTCCCCTTAAGTCATATCCTTACGTTAAGAATGAGCCTATATTTCAGGAAAAAATGGATGTCAGAGCTGAAGGCTCTGAGAGTAACAGCTGTACATTCTTGTCTTCATGCAAAGCAGAATTTTGCGTAATCCAAATCCTGTTAACTGATCAATTGAGAAACCTGTTTCTTTTTCTTCTTTGTAATGTAGAATTCTTGAAATAGGTTTAGATCACACAGCCAGTCCACAGCCAATAAATGGGTTAAAGTCCAACAAATGACTTCATGCACTGGTTTGAGTTTTCCCAGGAAAGCATTGTCTTACAGGCTATTTGCCTCTGGCTAGTCAGCTATAACGTGATTGAAATACTACACATATGTATAAAAAATAGTAGGAAACAATGCTGGGAATGAGTAAACAGGGAAAGGAATACATTTGAATAATACTTAGAAAATATATAGGAAGCTGATCTTTTTAAAAGATTTACTTGGAGAATAATGAATAGGTAACTGGAGACATTTTTTGGAGCTTCTGAAGAGAGATCTGAACACTCAGAGGTTATTGACAAGGTTCTTTTACGCCTTTTGATGTGTTTTTCATTTTGAATATTTGAAGAAGCCCAGTGTTTTATTTTGTCCAGTTTCATTTCAGAATGGGCCTTAGATTTTTCTTGCTACAGAAGAATCACAATCCCTACCCTTATACTGACCCAACGCAGTTAACATTTGTACTCTAATTATTGCTAATATTTGTATCACCAATGAAGCCAAAAAATAGAGAGGAAGTAGGGTTTCTAAAGGTAACTAAGCAAAATGAAGTAGGTAAGAATAAAGAGGAAACATTGAAAGGAATCTGGTGAAGACTGAAAAGTCTTTACAGGAGGTGATGTTAAATGGATCCTCATAGGGGAAAGCCAGGGCTGGGGGGGAGGGGGGTGTGTGGTTTGTCCATGATTCCCTTGATGGGCCATAAAGGAAGGGCAGAGAAGCAGTATCAGATGCTGGGTATCAGCTGTTGTGTGTGTAGGTGACATAGTTATGGGGTTCACAGAATCAGGGAATTCGGAAGTGGAATGACTTTTACTTTTCTAAAATGGAACCTAAGATAACCTTTTTGACTCATGGCCGATAAGCTTTCTCCAGATGTTTTCAAATGTTCTCTGCCTAATTCAGTGATTTTTGTTTTTCCAGTCATATTGGAGTATTAATCTCCCCGTCTCAGTTTGTTTCACAAATACCATCCAGGTATTTTCTTTCCATTCTTCATCCTACCCCACTGTCCCCTGCTTCACTGCCTGATGTTTTTGACTTCATGATGGACCTTGGATGTGACAGAGATTGGGTCCAGAATGTGTGTGTATGGTGTGAAGTACACGTGTGGGGTGTCCTAGAGGGAACACTGCCTCTAGTCTTATACGCATGGGTGATGTAGGGGAGACTGTTGTTTGCCGACACCAGTGTCTTTTATAGAAACAGTTAGTTAAGTCACTCAGTCGTGTCCGACTCTTTGCGACCCCGTGGACTGTAGACCACCAGGCTCCTCTGTCCATGGGATTCTCCAGGCAAGAATACTGGAGTGGGTTGCCCCTGATTTTCAGCTGGACACAAAGTCCATCCTGAATAAAGACCATAACTGCAATTAGCTGTAGCAGAAGTGTGTGACATTCAAGTTCTTCCTCCTTGAAAGTGTTCTTCTTTCTCCATTTTCTCTAGCTAGAATTCTGACATGATAATGAGCCATTTTGGACACACAGGTGAGGATAATAATGCTCAGGGATGCTGGTTTTGGGATAGAAAGTGCCCAGACAATTCCATGGACAGAACTTCTATTGCAGCTCTGAACTCTTCCTCAGGCCGTTCCATGTTAGAAAAATAAATTTAGATACGTTTAAACCATTGTAAATTTGGGGTTTTGTGATATTAGCTCAACATATACCCAAACTAGCACGTGGTGAAAAGAGGGAGACTACGCAATGTAACTAGATGTTACACATACATAGAAACTTGAGCAGTAGGTGCTAGAAATGGTGTTGAGTGGTGGATGGATGTGGACAGTAAGGACCTTCCCAGAGGCAATTGTCCTGTCTCTGATGATGCTAAAGAAGTAGCCAAGGTTTTAGAGAACATATTAAAAGTGTAGGATTTCTATGTAATGCAATACATGGAAATGCATTGGGGATAAAAACAACTGCTGATTACTGCAATTCAATAAACCACTTACTGCAGTCCCTGGAAAGAATTATTAAAAAGCCATCCCAATGCTCTTTGGCTGACCTTAGGTTTAATCTGAGGTTTAGCATCCCCCTGTTTGTGGGATTCAGATTTTAAGAAGGAAGGATTAAGAAACACATTTGCTGACTGTCTGAAAGAACATAGCCTATGTAAATCAACAATAGTTCAATTTAAAAAAAAAAGACTATAGTCTAGAGCAGAGAAATTCTTCAATTAGGGTGCGAAAGGAAAGTGCTTGTACTTTGCAGATTCAGACATTCTTCAAAATAAACAGGCTGGATTCTTGGCTATACAAACAACAGACACGAAGAACAGCAGCCCAGCTAGGTTTCTACCTCCCAGAGTCCACAGAAACCACGAGGTGATATTAGTCATTGGAGAAGACGTGTAGAAAGAGAGGTTATCAGAATTTCATCATGTCCCCAGTCTTCTGTACTAATTCTGTTCCTTCCGAGAATATTTCGGCCGCGTGCATCTTACAGAGAGTTAAACTCACCAGATAGAGCACAACCTTCGTCCAGAGTGGCTGTATTAATCAACCGAGATCATAAAAGCCACCTACACCATGACTGACCCGTGGGTTTTGGCCGATGCCCGAGGAGGGGTTGGGGATGTGCCCAGCACCCTCTCACTCAGTATGCATCCAGATGCTCTCCCTTCCTTTCAGCGCAGAGAGAGGCTGTGTCTGGGGAGGGGTGTGCCTGTGTTGTCCAGGAAGCACAGGGATGCATATCAATCACTCTGTTTGGCGGGTAGTACAGACACACTGCCCTTTTATCCGATCACTATGCAGGCCTTCCTTTCCCGTCCGTCCGGGAAGTAGGACTCTTTACAATATAGATGCTGTTCTGAGTTACAGTGATAACGCATGTTTGTGAACTACTCAAGAAATTACAAAGCTTCTAGGTGATTTGTTTTCACATTGCTGGGAGCCACATGCAGATGGCTAATTTCAATCCTGGTGTTTGCGTCCCTCTAACTGACTAATGCAACAAATATGTGTGGCAATTCTCTACTGGACCCATAAAGAAATGGGCCTCTAACTGACTAATCAGCAAATGTGTGTGGCAATTCTCTACTGGACCCATAATGAAATGGGCCTAGGAATCCACCAAGCTGGAAACTCTCTGGCTTTTCCCTGGTGATCCCTTCAAATGTGGTCACCATCAAAAACAGGGGGCCTCTCTTGATTTTGCAGCATTCTCCTTCTGAATATTTCTCTGGACACACTTGCTCCCTACCCTGTTGGTGGATTAAAATGAACTTTTGATGTAGCAAGTTCAGATTTTGGAGAACACCCACGATATAGGCAGGTCTGTTATAATATGGTTTATTTGTTTTTGTTGTTCATTTTGCCTTGGCTTAACCCACTTACCAGTCAACTGTGTGTTGTTAAAATATTTCACCTCTCAGTCCTCCCTTTGCATCAACTAACTTCACCAACCTACAGCTCTGGGTCATGGAAGAAGCAAAATCTTCTCTGCGATGACCAAGTCTCTCTCTGAGACTCAGGACAGGTGGCAGCCTTTCGATGACCCTTTGGACTCCGGCTTGTTGATTACAAACCACCTGGCGAGTTCAGGGATGCTCTCTGACCTGCTGCTCCCTCTCCCTTACTTCCAGAAACTCTGTAGTCTACCCACTCTGAACAAGTCCTCATCTCGCTCATCTCCCTTGTTCTAAACACTGTCTCTTTTTCTCAGCATGCACGCTCTTCAATGAGTTTCCTGACCCAAGGCTCTTATTCATATATCTGCCGGTCCACACATATGGGCGAGCTGTTAATCAGCTTTTGTTTAGCATCAGCCTAAGCATTTCAACTTCTGGTTTCTATTGTGTTACTTCTCGGCATGGAAATGGGCAAAATGCATGTTCACTACAGAACCCTCAACACCACCATCCCTGGCACTTGGGCCGCTCTTGCCCTGCGCACCGGCCCCTGGCCCACTCACCGGCTATGGAGGAGACGACCACAATGCTCCCGTTGGTCTGCTTCAGCATGGGCAAGGCGGCCGTGCTCAGGACCACATAACTCAGGAGGTTGACATTCAGGCTTCTGCGCAAGAGATGGATGTCATTGGTAAACACACTGAAAGGTGTGTAGTTGATGTGGTTGAGAATGAGCATGTCAAGTCCCCCTGCAAGAGACGGCTGTGGTGAGAGAAACCATCTGAGGTTGATACCTCCCCTCTTCCTCCCCCATCTCAAAAGCTCCCTGGTGACCCCTAGGGCAAAGTCCAGAAGGGGAGAGAGGAGATGCCGTCTCACCCATGAGCTTTCCAGCTTTGGCAACAAATTGTTCTGCGAAGGTCATGTTCTCCATGGTGCCCGCCACGTAGTGCGCTGAGGCCGCCCCCAGCTCCCGGCAGTGGGATACCACCTGCAGGGGCACAGAGGCAGCTGGCGTCGGTCTTGGCTGCAGACCTCTGGGGGGACAGTTTCTGGCATGATGGGGGCTTAAATGAGAGGTTGCTCACAGCTCTGAAAAGTGTGTGTATGTGTGTGTCATTAAAGGCAACTGACACAGCATTTGTCCTGTTTAAAATACTGTCTGGAACAAGGTCAGGTTATAGATGGATAAATCGTGTTGCTGGAGTTTTAGTTCATGACTTGTGCTCATGAGGCTCTTTGAACAGATGTTTCTGAACACATGATTGATATGGATGCTCGTTTCCGTGTGGGTAGCCTTAGGTTTGTGCATATCTGTGAGTCCTTGGGTTTGTGCGCCTGAGTATATAAGAGGGTGTGTGTCTGCATGGCGACAAGTTGTGAATTCTTGAGTAGGTACTGGAAGAGTGGTATCTGAGTACATGGCTATATATCTGTAACTCCATGTGTCAATGTGTGTAAATGGGCATGTCTGTGACCATACAGAACCCAAGAACTTTGTGTCTAGATATATATGCATGATAAGGAACCTTAAAGCATACTTTGGTATTCCTGTGGGTGTTTGAATCCATGTGTGTGTGTATCTGTGTCTGAGTGTGCCAGTTCTGTGCGTTGACATGTATATGCGAGCATATATAGGAATGCATCTGGGCACATGAGGTACATATGGCTGTGGGCACAGGATCCTCACCTTCTTTAGACTTTCTTCTGACCTCGCTGTCACTACCACATGGGCTCCCATCCTCGCCAGATGATAGGCCATTTCTCTTCCGATTCCCTTGCTGGCCCCCGTGACAATCACTCTCTTTCCTCGAAGCATCTCTGGGAAACCCCAAAAGGAAGTGAGGACCATACATGGCAGCAACATTCCTCTTCCCATTCCCTGCTTAGGTGGAGAGCCTTATCTCAGTGTCTGAAGGTTATGAGCCCATATCAGCTGATGTCAAGCTGCACAAATCAATGAAGGGACAGACCCGTCTTTCGTAATCATTTTCTGAAATGGGAGTTTGCTTTGGTGGCTCAAAAGCAAGTCTCCTCGCTGCCCTTTTTGAAAACCCCTATGGACAGAGAGTTTAGCTAAAACACTGGCGTTCCAGATATTTCTGGACTCATCCAATTGCTCAATTGAAATAAAATTCAAAAAGTCATCAAAACACATGTGCTCATAGAGATTCCAGGGATTTTCTCTCACTTCTATTTAGTCATCAACTCCAGAATTCCTTCTTATTTCCCACTTATCCACTCCTTCACAGAGCTCAATTATCTGGTGAAGTTGTGAATTTTGGAATTACCCGCATTTTTTTTTCCTTTTTTTTTTTGCAAGAGATCTGAAATTGCTTTCAATTTAATGTGCCAAATAAAACATGGATTATTTAGCAATCTTTTAACTTCCTCACACCCCATAAACAGAAGAACAGTCTTACCTCAGAGTCCCCTCTTGTCCAGCAACTCTGGGGATCAAGAACTCCTTCTGAGCCTCAGAAACACTCCAGCCATCCCTGGGTGTTAAAATCTATTCCTCCAGCCATCCCTGGGTTTTAAAATCTTTTCCTCCAAAGTTAAGCACATTGGTACTTACCTGGTCTGAATTCCTCATTCGCAGAATAGTAGTAGTAGGCCAAGAAGATCCCCAGAATGGGGAGGAGGTATTTTTTCATAAAAGCCATCAGACAGGGATCTGGCCCGAGGAGCCCTGTGGGACACAGAGAGAACCTACAGAGCTTTCTACAACCTCCTAGGCAGGCAGCAGCCTCTGAATTGTGACATCAGGGACGGGGGAGGCTGGAGTAGTCTCAGGCAGTGCTAGCCAATTTCCCTGTCAGAGCCGCGATTGGCTTTGGGTGGGATCCCATTCGTCCCTGGCAGCCTGCGTGGTCGATTTCATAATGGACAATGTTTACTCCATTTCATTGAGCAAGAAGAGACTTCCAGATGGCCAGGCTCATGACTGTACAGAACTGGATTCCTGAGCATCCCTACTCCGAGCCCGTCTTCCTCGTAACGCCATTTACACCAGGAATCAACGGCCTTTCAAAAGTGGTATATCAAAGGCTAGAGAGAAAGCGGGGCTTTCTGAGGGAAGTGTGACTAATAGCAAAGAGAGCCAGAGTCAAGCAAATCTCACTTTCAGCCCCACCTCCCAGTCGGAAGCAATTAAAAATAACAGCACAAAACAGAAAAATAAGCTTAAGGGGAAAAAAGGTGCACATCTTGGAGGGGGGAAAAAAAAGCAAACAAGCCTTATAAACCCCACGTTCAAGTTCAATGAACAATTATTACAACATCAAAGGAGAATGCATGCCAGCTAGAACCCAGATGGCGGGAAACCCATGACCCGTCAAGACTCTCAGGCAAGTGCAATGGAATGTGCACTTATTACTTTCACAGCAAATAAAGAAGACATGATGAGTGTCAAGGAAAAAAAGGCACTAAGCTATTAAAGTAGGTCTTTTAAACACTATAGAGTTCCAAAAAAAAAAAAAAAATGTGGGGAGGACAATAGGAAGAGGGGAACCTGATGTAGAAGAAAAAAGAATGAGCATCGTTGACGCAAAGCTAGCCTGAAAAGCGCACATCCAGTTAAAAATGGATCTGTCAAAAATTGATCTAGTTAACAATCAAAGGACTAGGGGGAGAAACCCCTAGTAATTTAGAATTTATCACAGAAATATAGAAATAGCCACATTGGCATGTCTGTCACGAGGATCAATCCTCAAAGAATTTAGGATATTGTAATTGTTAAGTTTTTCGATTTAAAACCCACTATTGAAACCTTACCCATTACCCTATCACAGAGAAAATCCGGAATTTTGCAAGTTGCCAGTGGAACCAAGGAAACGAATTTAATATGGCAGTAAGGATGGGTACCAGTGCTTTGAAGGAGGAATGTAGGTTGAGGGTGAAGGATTCACATAAGATTAAGAGAAATTGAATTATGACCCCCAAGTATAGTATCTGGAAACACTCACTGAATTTTCACTTCAGAGCAAGGAAAAATAATTTAAGACCCAGAGGAGATGAAATAATTTGTCAACAAAGGCCCACACCTGCTTTCCAGGAAACAGTACAGATCTGAGAACAGTTGAGGGTCAGATAGTTCATGGAGAACAAAATAGAAAAAATATTTTAAAAATTCAACTGGAAAATTACATTACATAGTATCAGAACTATAAGATACACACACACACATATATATACATATACATATTTCTTTTCTTGGTCACAGCCCGTGGCATGTGGAATCTTAGTTCCCTGACCAAAGATGGAACCAATGAAGTGTGGAATCTTAACCTCTGGACTGCCAGGAAAGTCCCTGATGAAATAATTTCTCATCAGTAAAATGCACTGATGAAAATGAGGACACTACATAATGGTTGATGACTTTAAATCTTAGCAGTTTTTAAAAGTTTTGGTCTAAGGATCTTTTTTTTTAAAATCAGAGTACAGTTGCTTTACAATATTTTGTTAGTTGATGCTGTACAATGAAGTGAATCAACTCTGTGTGTACATACCTCCTCTCCCTCTTGGACCTCCCTCCCACCACCTCCTCTGCACCCTTTCAGGTCATCACAGAGCCCTGAGCTGAGCTCCCTGTCTATACCGCCAGTTCCCACTGGCCATCTCTTTTACACATGGTAGTGTATTTATGTCACACCTAATCTCCCAACACATCTCATCCTCCCCTTCTCCCTCTGCATGCACATGTACATTCTCTGTGCTTGCATCTCTATTCCTGCCCTGGAACGAGGTTCATCTGTACTATTTTTCTAGATTCCACATACATGCATTAATACACATTTATTTTTCTTTCTCTGATTTACTTCACTCTGTATGATAGACTCTATGTCCATCCACATCTCTACCAGTTTTGCTCCTTTTTATGATAGAGTAATATTCCACAATATATACATAATGCATCTTCTTTATCCATTCCTCTGTGGATGGACACTTAACATTGTTTCCATATCCTGGCTATTGTAAATAGTGCTTCTATGAACATTGGGGTATATGTGTCTTTTTGAATTATGGTTTTCTCAGGGTATATGCCCAGTAATGGTATTGCTGGGTCATATGGTAGTTGCATTTTTAGTTTTTTAAGGAACCTCCATACCATTCTCTATAGTGGCGATATCAGTTTACATTCCTACTGATAGTATAAGAGGGTTCCTTTACTTCACACCCTCTCCAGGATTTATTGTTTGTACATAATTTTGATGGTGGCCATTCTGACTGGTGTGAGGTGGTACCTCATTGTAGTTTTGATTTGTATTTCTCTAGTAATTAGTAATACTGAACATCTTTTCATGTGCCTCTTGGCCATCTGTATGTCTTCTTTGGAGAAATACCTATTTAGATCTCTCCCCCCCATTTTTTGATTGGATTGTTCATTTTTTTGATATTGAACTGCTTGAGTTGTTTGTGTATTTTGGAGGTTAATCCTTTATCTGTTGATTCATTTGCAAATGTTTTCTCCCATTCTGAGGGTTGTCTTTTCATCTTGTTTATGGTTTCCTTCACTGTGAAAAAGCATTTCAATATAATTAGGTCCTATTTGTTTATTGTTGTTTTTATTTTCATTACTCTAGGAGGTGGATTAAAAAAGATCTTGCTGTGGTTTGTGTCAAACAGTGTTCTGCCCATGTTTCCTCTAAGAGTTTTATAGTGTCCAGCCTTATATTTGGGTCTTTAATCCGTTTTGAGTTTATTTTTGTATATGGTGTTAAGGAGCATTCTAATTTCATTCTTTTACATTTAGTTGTCCACTTTTCCCAGCACCACTTATGAAGAGAGTATCTTTTCTCCACTGTATATTCTTGCTTCCTTTGTCTTATATTAGGTGACCAGAGGTGTGTGGGTTTATCTCTGGGATTTCTATCCTGTCCCATTGATCTATATTTCTGTTTTTGTGCCAGTACCATACTGTCTTGATTACTGTAGCTTTGTAGTATAGTCTGAAGTTGGGGATACTGATGCCTCCAGCTTCATTTTTATTTCTCAAGGTTGCTAGGGGAAATTTGGGGTCTTTTGTATTTCCATATAAATTGTAAGATTTTTTGCTGTGATTCTGTGAAAAATGCCACTGGTAATTTGACAGAGATTGCACTGAGTCTGTAGATTGCTTTGGGGAGTATCGTCATTTTGACAATACTGATTCTTCCCAGCCAAGAACTTGGTGTATCTCCCCATCTGTTTGTGTTAGCTTTGATTTCTTTCATCAGTGTTTTATAGTTTTATGAGTATAGGTCTTTTGCCTCTTTAGGTGGGTTAATTCCTAGGTATTTTATTCTTTTTGTTGAGATGGTAAATGGGGTTGTTTCCTTAATTTCTCTTTCTGATCTTTCATTATTTTAGTGTATAAGAATGCAAGAGATTTCTGTGCATTAATTTTGTATCCTGCAACTTTACTAAATTCATTAACTAGCTTTAGTAGTTTTCTGGTGGCATCTTTAAGATTTTTCTATGTATGGAATCATGTCATCTGCAAACAGTGACAGTTTTACTTCTTTTCCAATTTGGATTAATTTTATTCTTTTTCTTCTCTGATCACCATGGCTAGGACTTCTAAAACTATGTTGAGAAATAGTGATGAGAATGGTCATTGTTTTCTTGTTCCTGATCTTAGAGAAAATGCTTTCAGTTTTTCACCATTGAGAATGATGTTTGCTGTGGGTTTGTTATGTGTGATCTTTATTATGTTGAAGTAGTTTCCCTCTATGCCTACTTTCTGGAGAGCTTTTTATTTTTTTCTTTTTTAAATTATAAATGGGTGTTGAATTTTGTCAAAAGCTTTTTCTGCATCTATTGAGATGATCATAGGTTTTTAGCCTTCAATTTGTTAATATGGTGTATCACACTGATTGATCTGAATATATTGAAAAATTTTTGCATCCATGGGATAAATTCCATTTGATCATGATGTATGATTCTTCTAATGTATTATTGGATTAGGATTGCTAATATTTTGTTGAGGAATTTTGCATCTATATTCATCAGTGATATTGATCTATACTTTTTTTGAGTGATATCTTTGTCTGGTTTTAGTATCAGAGTGATAGTGGCCTTGTAGAACCAGTTTGGGAGTGTTCCTCCCTCTGTAATTTTTTGGAAGCGTTTGAGATGTATAGGTGTTACTCTTCTCTAAATGTTTGATAGAATTCACCTGAGAAACCATCAGGTCCTGGACTTTTGTTTGTTGAAAGATTTTAAATTACAGTTTTAGTTTCATTACTTGTGATTCGTTTATATTTTCTAATTTTTCCTGGTTCAGTCTTTGAAAGTTGTAGCTTTCCAAGAATTTGCCCGTTTTTTCCAGATTGTCCATTTCATTGTCATATGGGTACTTATTGTAGTTTCTTATGATCCCTTGTATTTCTCTAGTGTCAGTTGTAATTTCTCCTTTTTCATTTCTAATTTTACTGATTTGAGTCCTCTTTTTTCCTTGATACTTCTGGTTAAGGCTTATCAATTTTGTTTATCTTCTTAAGAGAACCAACTTTTAGTTTTATTGATCTTTGCTATTGTTTTATTTATTTCTATCTCATTTATTTCCTCTCTGATCTTTATGAATTCTTCTACTGACTTTGGGTTTTGTTTTTTCTTCTTTTTCTAATTGCTTTATGTGTAAGGTTAGAGTGTGTATTTGAGAGTTTTTTTGTTTGTTTCTTGA